TTATTATTATTATTATTATTATTATTATTATTATTATTATTATTATTGTTGTTGTTGTTGTTGTTGTTGTTACCACCAAACAGAAAATTTCTGTGGATTGCTGAAATCCATTTACCAGTTCAGATTTTACAGAAAACTATACTTTGATTCAAATGGTAAGACTCTTTCTTATACAGAGAGGAAGAGGAAGAAGAGATGCACACTTGCACACTTCTTGTAGTGTCATAGCAGAGAGAACTATCGGAGAAGGCAAATATCTTTTAAACCAGGTAGCATGAATTTTAACATCACAGGAAATTGCTCCTGGACCCCTTCCCCAATTTATCTGCTCCACATTAATTTTGACATAACCCCTGCATATTATTTGTTGTTTCCATACTGCACCTCAGCCCTAATTTTTCTAATAGCAAAAAGCATTTTTAAACCTCATCTATCTGGGCAAGAAATAATCCAGCTAAGGCAATGTATTTGTTAGAGCATTGTAATAGCTACCCTGCAACAAGTACCAGAAGGATATACAGAAAAGGAATCATAACATTGCGGCTCTTTCCAGGTGAAAAATCTTTTAACAATTACTTCAATAGCATGTAATGCAGTAAGTGCTATCATTCACTACAGTGACAACCAGGTAAAAATGTCCTTGAATCTTCTGCCTATCAGGACAATGTGTTTTGGCTGGCCTTGAAGACTATCTCAGAACTGAGCAGCAACCTTGTATAGAAACCAGGATGCAACTAGCTATTAAACAAGATTAGGTACTTTCTGGCCCTTCAGCCACAGATTTTTTCTTTTTGCAGCTACTGGAAGCTAAGGCATATTTCCCCATTATTTTCAATTGAAAACAGATGAAAACTGTGTTGTTTATTAGCTATGGGGAATGCCAGCCCTAAAACATATATATTATAATATAAAAAACCAACTCCTTAAACTTTTTCCCAAACCATCCCGCCTGCAGTGATGAGCTGCCATGACCTATGCAATGCTCAGACTCTTGAAAGATGAAGGATGGCCTTTTGCCACCAAAAGATCCCTGCATTCAAGAAATTTATAGAGAAAGAAGTCTGAATTTTGCTTAAATCCTGTTTTCTACTTTTGCCAATAAAATAATCCTTCCTACTTTTTCCCTGTGATTGATGCCTTCCCGATGTCTTCTATCTATCTCCCTTGGTTTCTCTCCACATAGACCTTTCAAGTAACTAACTTGCAACATGTATCCTGGCAGTCTTTCTGATTCCTCATCTGAGAATTAGCTAAAAATGAGTATGCCTATCTCAAAATCCTGATAATGTCCCACCATTTTTCTTACATTCAATTGTGAAGCCTGCAGTCATTAGAAATTTCTTTAGAGAAACTTTCTACAACTGTGTAACTTCAATATGTGTCACAAGATTTATTTCCAGAATTTTATGTCATGCTATCTAGTACCTGCAATCCTTAAACATCTGGAGAATGCCAGAGTGGAGAGGCTCACTTATAGTTAAAAGTAGTACTCCCTATCACCTTCCAAATAGATGTAATGGCTTCAGTGACTGGATGAGAAAGCTAATTTTAGAAACTGAACAGCAGCTTTAGGTTGAAACAATATGACATAGCTCAGAAAGAACAACTGGTTTCAAGGTGAAACATATCACCTAACTCTTAAATTTAACAAAATGAGAGATTTTCTTACAACGCAACTTTAATAAAATATGCTATCTTTGCAATTGTTCTGAATGTTTTATACTGATTAGAATTTAAATCTTTAATACTGTAAAATAAATACAGGCACAGTAAGTAAATCTTTCATCTAAGTCAGAAAAATCTCATAATTTAGAAATACTAACTTTCAGTGTTCCTGTTCCATGTTCATAACTAAACATAGTAGCCAAATCTTCATCAGAACAAATTGTACTTAATAGTAGTTTAGAGTTCAACCTCCATATATTTGTACATTAAATTCAATTGACCTAAATGGACAATTCAAAAGAAAATTGAATTTTAACTTACGTTAAAAGTTGCAAATGCAAAAGACTGCTAAATAAAATTAGTACAAACAACCTCCTAGACCAAATATGTCTTTTAAGCCACATTTGTCCATATCCTGTAAATGAGAACATAATAAAAGAAATATTCATATATAAGGGTAGTTATCATTGAACAATACAGTAAAATCTTAGAAGGTTGTTATGCTCTCCTGCTCATCCACTTAAACAATGGGATACACTGACTTATTGCACTGAAATTCAATCACCGGGCAAAAATAATACCCCATAATTACTATAGTCAATGTGTAAAATAGAAGTCAGGGGGGAAAATGGCAGTTCTTATAGAAGAGTGCCCCAGCTGGATGACTCTGGATTACAGCTACCCTGCTGATCCTTGTTATGCTATCCATGCTTGATTGATTGTATTAAATCTATTTTTTCTCATCTTCAGAAAAGAGTAAGGGAAAGAGAATAAAGAAAATGTTTAGCCTGTTTGAAATAGCAAGCCAGTTCTCATTCCATGAAGTCAGCAGACCATCAGGATAACTCTTTATAGATTCTACCATGAGATAGCTTAAAGAAGAATGTTATAGCCAAAATACTACTGGGATATTTCTAATCTAAACTTGAATTAAAACAATATAGATAAGTCTTAAGTAAAACATGTAATTCTAAAATCTTTAGCACAATGTAGAATCCATACTGGTTAGTGAGTCTATTTTTCCCCATCAAAAATAATTTTAAAATCATAAAGTAATTATTTATACACCTCAAATACACTAATCTTACAGTTGTTCACTTTATTTTATGAGCTTTTTGCCTCTATCAAATCTTTACAAAGGGAAGGCAAGTTTTGAAATTCCAATGACTTTCTCTATGTTCACCATTTCAAAAAGCATGCTTATTTAAGCAAAAGAAAAAACATGCTATTTAAGTGCTACACTTCAAAATTTAACATTTGTACCCACATGATCAAAAAACAATATACCCAAATCTATAGGAGTGATGGGGTTTTTATGCAACTCACAAAAGCATTGCTAGAACACTATGCCATTTATACAGTAATGTATTTTGTTGTTATCAGTTATTACTAATTTCTGAGCTTGATGAAATAGTTCTCCATAGGGTACAGTTCTTTAATCATTAGATTGCTTAATCAACTCATAGAGTGTACATCCCACTGCCCAAGTAAAACTCAAAACTTCACCCAAAAAAAAGTGTTGTATGAGTTAATCAAGACATTTCTATAAACAGTGTGTAAAGTAGCACTGGACATCTCCTGTCTCTTCATCAGTAACTAACGCCCCATATCTTTCAGTTAGCCAGGACATATTATATTTTTGCTCAAACCATTACAACTTACCTTTGACCAATAAGACCGGTCTACTGGGCTTCTTAAGTCGGAGTTGAAGACCCTCTGACCATGATTTAGACTTAGGAAAATGTCTGAAGAGTTTGCGGATTCTCTTTGTTACTAATCCAAAGCAAGCTGCAGCTCCTGCTTCTCCTTCTCCCTCTGTCATTCTTCTAACAGAAGATCAATAGTTTCTTTGGGCACAGCAGACAGGCAGGCAAGTGCTTGAATGCGGAATGTTACCAGCAAATGTTTTATCTCTACAATTTATTTATGTTACAAAATTCAGAGTTCTGCACTTGCAGTTTTCTCCTTGCCTTTTTGTCTCCTTTTTTTCCCTTCAAACTAAAAGCAAACACTGCAATCCACAAACTTCCAGGGCAGCTTCTGTAATGCATGGAAAACTTTCTATTTCTGGGACTTTTTGCCTGATAAGATAAAGCAACATAACGGAAGAGGCTACAGTCAAGAGAGAGCCAGAAGCCATCTCTTTCTTTAGCAAGGCTTCTTTCAAATATCCTTAACTTTCGCAATCCTTTTTTTAAAATTAAGATTATCTTAGACTATAATTAAACCAGTAATCTTAATATACTGTATTTTTAAGGATATTAAACATTAAAACAGGCCTGTGGGTAATAATGCTATTATAAATAGATATTCAAAGTAATAATAGAATTAGACCCTCCTGACATCTTATTTTCAACCACAATTTCCCTTTGAACTGACAAAATAAAGACCTAGCCTGGAAAGAGCCCATGTTATTTGTTTTAAAGTATAAATACGTATTTTCCATAACAACAGATAACAAAACCTCCAAAATATTGATGAGTATTTGTATAATCAAGACACATACAATCAAATATGGACATGTCTAATGGCATAAATAAAGATGGTTCATGGATACCCATTGGAAACTACTCATAATAGGTCTGTATTCATCTTCTACACATGCACAATTACCTTACAACATTCCCACCTGCTTCATTGTGAATTCTCTCTATGAACTAGAGTTAATGATTCAAGTACTAGAAATTGTGATCTGATGAACAGAATATTGATTGGGGCAGGGATTAGGAGAAATACAGTTTGCTATGGAGAAGGTGGCCAGAAAGACTCAATCACAAATAGTCCTTGTTTAACAACCACAATTGGGACTGGCAACTCAGTTGTCAAATGAAGCCATTGCTAAGTGAAACTGCAACTTTGCTTATGGTCTGACTTCAGGTATCCCCTGGAGTTGTAAATGGTCACAGTTTGTTTTCCATCACCATCAGAATTGTGAATGGTTGCTGCCAGAGACACTTGCTAAACAAGGATCGCCTGTACTTTTATTTATATTTTAGTGTAAGCAAATCTTAACTACATTTGCCATTTTTGCTACTGATATTCAGAATGTACTGCAAAACATCATGCCTCCATTTTACAAAGACAAAGGTAATTTCTGTAACTTCCAATTCTTTTTCAATTACTAAGGCTTTGGCTAGAGATTTAGTGGCTTGTCATCCAAATAGCAGATGAGAAGGCTGCATTAGAATATTCATCAAGTTGTTTATGAGATTTGTATATCTAGCTCATTAGCCATATTTTTCAGCTGGGGCAGAATGTATATAATACCATTTTGCACATTTGAATCTTATTTTTCTTCCCAGAAACTCATAGGTTTATCTCACCATATTATAAGCTCTGAAGGTAATTTAAAAGAAAGTCAGCAGGGTTGCAACTCAAATTTCTCACTTCATCATAACAATATGCAATTTGCAATGCAATTCTATTCTATTCTATTCTATTCTATTCTATTCTATTCTATTCATTCATTCAGGAATCAGTTTAAATTCAGCACATATCTCTATAAAAAATTCCCATCTATCTTGCAAAGGTCATAGCTGAAGCTCTGATAGTTTTACACAATTTACTCTTAAATAAAAAAAAATTAAATACAATTGTCTTACCACATTTTGGAACTGTCCACCTCTCTCACAGAAGGACTCTGGGCAGTGTATAATAAACAGCAATCACTGTATCCTGGAGGGAAATTATAGCTTCTTTGTCGAGATCAAAATATCTACTGAATACTCATCTCTTTCTCCCCCTCTCATACACACACACACACACATCTGTAATTACTGGACATGCATGATAAGGCAGCTATATTCAGTATCTTAACACTATAAAATAGCTTTCAATTGGCAACTGAAACTACTATACTTGAGAAACCTGATTACATGAGCTAAGAAAACTCAGAAGAGAGTTTGCTAATTCACTAGCACAACTCATGTTGCAAGGTCACTATTAATCAATACTATAGCAAAAGAAAGATTTAAAATTCTATCAGTTGCTCTTAAAAATAATTTTAACATAACTTACTGCAATCAAAGTCCTAAAACCTGGTACACTGTGGAAATATATTGATTGTAGCTTCTTGTAAGCATTAATAATGTGAAGATGGGCCAAGCACAAAAAGAACAGCCATGAAGATCTGAGTAAAGATTAGTTGTGTGGATTTTGTCAGGAGCGGAAATCCTATGAGTGAGGTTCAAACTCCTAAAGGTTCCTATGCATGACTCCACTTCCATTTGTACATTTGCAGTTTGACCTCTTCCTTCAATCAAGCACTAATAAAAGCTTACTTTGGAATATCCTTCTGAAATTGAATTTTAAAGGGGTGATAAGCCAATTGTTAGATTCCCAAAAACCACATCTATGCATTTATTAAAGCCAAGATGTCCACAGCAAGAATTGGCTGGATCCCAGTATGAACTGACTCTTCCCTTTTCAGACCAACTTCCATTATTTCTGACAAATGTTCAACTCCAACATTGAAACTTCAGCACAGCAGAAGAAACCATTAGCCCCAATGTCTGTATATTTATCATATCTGGAGAGCCCATTTGGTCTAGTGGTTAAGGCCCAGGCTAGAAAGCATGGAGACTGTGAGTTCAAATGCCGCTTCAGCCATAAAAGCCACCTGCGAGACTTTGGGCCTATCATTTCTCTCAGCCCAAATTACCTCACAGGGTTGCTGTTGTGGAGAACAGAGGAGGAAGGCGGCATTGAATCTGCTGCATTGAATTTTTTGTATAAATAATAAATGTGGATATATTAATAAATAAAGTAATTGCAGAAAGAGGGAACGTCATTCCAAACTCTGCTGTTTATAAAGATATTTGCTCATTGTTAACACCCATCATTTCCTGTCATGAACTATCTAAACAAGGCCCTACCTGCTAAAGGAATGTGTTACTTTAAACACTTTGAAAAAAACAAAGCGATTAAAAAGTTATAAAGATCTATGAATCATATGGAAATGTAGCAACTACACTGCTTCCTCTGAAGAGTAATCAAGAGATAAAAGCAAAAAATAGTCACCTGATATAAAAAGACCTAATTCTGAGGATAGCTTTAGTTTCTGCTATAGGTCTGCCTGATGGCAAACCCTTTCACCAGTATAAATTTGGCATTGGACCAGAAACACCCCTCCCTGTGGAGTAATCTGGGAAGAATTGCTTCTTTTCTTTGTTTGATTTCCAGAAAATCACCTTGTGATATTTAACTCACCGCAGTGGGCCTAACCTATTTAGAGTTAGTGAGGTAGAAATCTGATTCCCAAAATAATATTGTGGTACCAAATTGTCCTAATTCATCACTAACTTCTCTCTCCCTGCTATGAGACAGGCAAATCAAAGTGCATCTTCTATTTCCGAGAATACCTCTGGGCCCCACAAGTTAAAAAAAAAATTTTTTTTTTAAGGGAATTCCATCCCAGTGTCTGTTTGGAAAAAGGACAAAAGCAAGCAGGGATTAGGAAGGAATGTCCTGCCAGAAAAAGAGTTGTTAGGTAGTACTGTTCTTTTTCCATGGCAGATATTTTGTATATAAGCAAGCCTCATTGATTAGCCTTTTTGCAAAAGCCTTCACAACTTCCTTCCTATGACCCTGTAATCCCTTAATTCAGGATAGAGTGGGGTGACTGGATGGAGCTGAGTGTTTTACTGGCCAGATGCCCTTTCTGGTGCCACCTGGCGTTCGCAGCAGATATTGTTCTTTGCACCCCAGGAGAGAATTGTCTGTTGCAACCTAGGATTAAACTCTCAACCTTCTAAGTGGGAGGCAAGCACCTTCACCACTAAGCCACCATGCTACTCTTGCAAGAGCCCCCAGAACACCTGAAAATACTAAATCAGCCAACTAATCCAAAAACCTGGCCTAGATAAATGAGTCACTCAACTACTTACGCATTTTCTCAGATTCATGCATCAATTTTTGGCTGCTATGGTTAAGCAATTGCCTGATTCTCTATTGAAGCAATTAAAATTTGCCCCTAATTCCAATGAAGGACTCTGCCTTGACTTTGACTTGGCTTTGATGCTACATATTCTGTGATCCTTTACCATAAATATCTGATTTTCTTCTAAAAGTTAAGGAATATTTAACTATACTATTTCTGACATCAGGAATTGATTTTATTTAACTTTTTTTTTGAGATACAGTTTTATCCCTGACCTGAGAGATTTTAATGACACATCAAGCTGGGTTACCAGCTGCTTTGCAATTCATTTGCAAGCAACATGCCACTGACACTTAAGTAGCGCAATCATCATTTTACAGTCTCTCAAAATGCACCAGTTACACTTGGCTGGGCAGCCACCTGGGTCTGTTGGGAAGGAAAGCAATTCCACATCAGCATAAACCAGGAAAGGAGAATTGGGAAGGCAAGCAACACAATATTGAAAGGAAGGCCAAAAAGAAATAATTCCAAGCATTTCATTTTTGGATTTCAAATAATATTATTTTGGAAGTAGCATTAATTTTGTCCACTTTAAAGCCTAACTTAGAACCCTTTGCTGATCTGTATCTTTTATTATAGATAAGAAATTCTCAGGACATTATTCCAAAATGAGGAAAAGATGATGTTATTTTAAAAAATCATTCTGAAAAATATCTACAGTAATTTGCATGTTGATTTCTCTGTGATTTATCAAAAGTCCATACAAAATCTCTGTTGTAATGTTCTCTGAACAAAATAAAATGGCAAGCTACTTCTATTGTCATGATTATACATGAAGAACAATATATCCTGTTCACTTACATGGCATATAAATTTATTTTGTAGTACAGAATATAGAATCCAAGTGAATAAGGCACCAAGCTAAAAAATTGAGAAACTGAGTTCTAGAGTCACCTATTTCCTGGGTTCCAAGATCACCGCAGATGGGAACTGCAGCCAAGAAATTAAAAGACAGTTGTTCCTGGGGAGGAAAGCTATGGCAAATCTAGACAGCATACTAAAAAGCAGAGACATCACCCTGCCAACGAAAGTGTATATAGTCAAGGTTATGGTTTTCCCAGTTGCAATGTATGGCTGTGAATGTTGGACCATAAGAAAGGCTGAGTGCCAAAGAATTGAGGCCTTTGAACTATGATGCTGGAGAAGACTCCTGCGAGTCCCTTGGACTGCAAGGCAATCAAACCGGTCAGTTCTAGAGGAGATCCACCCTGACGGCTCTTTAGAAGGCCAGATCCTGAAGATGAAACTCAAATACTTTGGCCACCTAATGGGAAGGAAGGACTCACTGGAGAAGAGCTGGGAAAGATTGAGGGCAAAAGAAGAACGGGATGACAGAGAATGAGGTGGCTGGATGGAGTCATGAAGCAGTAGGTCTCCGGAGAATGGTAGAGGACAGGAAGGCCTGGATGAATGTTGTCCATGGGGTTGCAATGGGTTGGACACGACTTCACAACTAACAACAAGTGTCACCTTAGGCATGAAAGCCAGCCAGGTGACTTTCTCTCAGCCCAATACACCTCACGGAATTGTCATATTGGGGAAAACAGGAGGAGGAAGGAATATTGGGTACGTTTGCTGCCTTGGTT